CGGAGTGTCTCTCCATCAAGGACATTCACACCACACGCTGCACCCGAAGAGCCACCAGCATTGTTAGGACCCCACACACCCTTCACACACCCTTCACACACACTCCTCACACTCCTCACACTCCTGCTGTCTGGCAAGAGGCCCGACTGTGCAGCAGCTTCATCCTTCAAGCTGTAAGACTGCTAAACGTTCAAGGACTGGACTAACACACAAACAAAAACACACTACCTTCATTGTGTAGTTATTGTCCGTGTTGTGCTGTATTGGCTCGTGTTCAAATTGTATATGTTTGCACTACCTGTTCTATATATTGCACTACCTGTCTCCATATTTATATTTTTATTTTATTCTATTTTATCTTATTTTATCTTTCTTGCTCTGCATTCTTTGCACGACCACCTCAGCTCTGGATCTGGGAAGCGCTGCATGTGAACATAAAGGTAAAATATGTCATCAGGTGTCATAAATAAAACACGGTGGTGCTCCAGAGATGCTGCAAAACTACCAATCATGTCCTCCAGATGCTTTTCAGTCACATCATAATAAATCTCACCACGGTTTGTCGACAGTGGAAACACACAGACGAGCTGCGTTATGTGGAAACACGTAGAAAGAAATGTATATATACGTATATAATAAAGACAGAAATATGTGAAAATAAAGATTATAAATCCACAATTAAAGCAAACATTTTGAAATGTCCACTTTTTGTACGATTTATAGTTAAAAAAAAAAAGTTGTTCCTTGTCAGAAAAGTCCACGTAAACACTAAACCAAAGAATTTATTGCATTTTTTTTACTTTTAAGGATTAAAATAGTTGCAGATCAATAAAATTTTAATCAACAAATACAGTATTTTATATGTTTTTCTGCTCTAAACTATAACAATCTATATGAGCCAAGATAAGTCGAATAATATTCAAACGGACATGATTTGCGTCATGAAATAACCCAACGAGTTAAATTATTGGAGCTAAGACTAGACAGAGTTATTTATAATGTGAATTTATTTACATAATTTACATATGAAGGCTTTGAACCCGACAAAAACTACTTAAAACACCATTTAACACACTAGTTTTTGAATTTTCCTTCTTAAACCGTCATAAAGAAATCGTCGTGTACAACATTGTCCAGCTGATGTGCAATATTTAATTTGAAGACATTCCTGTGCCGGATATCGCTCAGAAAAAAACTAAATGACACATTAATTATGGAGATCTACATGATTAATTGTTAAATTAAAGTTACAACTCTTCAAAAAAAGTACATGGAAACCCGACAAAGTTTCCCTGAATCCCCCTTTTTTCTGTTCGTTTGCTTTTACTTGCACATAAAACAGAGTAGAACAGAAAAACAGTTGTGTTGTTGCAGCAGGAAGAGTCTCGTGAGCACCACCGCAACACAAATAAATACCAGATAAATACACTTAAGCACAAACTGCACGATAAAATTTAAAATATGCAACGATTTTAAAAAGCTAAAAATGCACCATAAAGAGTCAGAAGCTTGTGTTGTTCTGTGTTAATGATGCACAGCAAACTGGGGATTAATCAGCTTTACATTTTGGTGCAACGATCTGTTTGGCCTGTGGTGCATTCTGATACTAAAACCATCGATACTACAGATAACGGCTCGCTGACAACCGTCCTGCTAGAACCCTGCAGCTCTTTATCGTGTCGTTCTGTCCTGATCTAATTAGAACAATCGGCCTCGGTTTGTCTGATCGATAAGGTTGCATGTCACAAAGCGACACGGCGTCTAATGGACTGCTCGCCGACACGCCGTCTCTCAAACTGTCTGCAGCTTGATAACAAACGTCTCCATCTGCAGCAAGACAAAGTTGTGGCTTCATCCTCGGTCGTGTCTCAGAGGACTGATGCATCCGCTACGGCGGCGATCCAACACAACAACAAGCCGCCGTCGTCTCATATATCTCATCAGATCCTGCATTTCTCATTCAGAAATAAATCAGCCTGATCGTCACTAAACTGCAGGTCGTCGGGCAGCTCTGCAGGAGTGTTTGGACTCTGCAGAGACAATAACGCCCAGTCACACTGCAGCACCCCGCCCCGTCAAATCAATATCTGAGAGGAGGGAGGACGGAGTCGTGATGCTGCCGGCGGTCCGAGGAGACCGGAGGAAGCGCTGAGGCAGCTCATCCTGCCTCCGTCTGTAACACAAGCAGCTTTAAATCCAACAGGAGGTGTGAATGAACGTAGCAAGAGGTGCTGCAACTCCTCGAATGTCGCAGCTCCCTTAACCGTTAAAAAGTGTATCTGAGACTGCACAGTCCGACTGCAAGCTTCAGCAGCAGATCACAGAATTTATCCTCCGAAACCATCCATCCATCATCTCTACACCTTAATCCTCACTAGGGTATCAGGGGGCTGGAGTCTATCCCAGCTGACTCAGGGTGAAGGCAGGTTCACCTGGACAGGTCACCAGTCTATCACAGGGCTACACTTAGAGACAGACAACCAAGCACACTCACATTCACACCTACGGACAATTTAGAATCACCAATTAACCTCAACATGTTTCTGGACTGTGGGAGGAAGCCGGAGAACCCGGAGAGAACCCACGCTGCACGGGGAGAACATGGAGACTCCACAGGAAGATCCCGGGTGTCCTCACCGGGACGCAAACCGGCGACCTTCTAGCTGTGAGGCGACGGTGCTAACCACAGAGCCACCTGCAGCCTTCCTAAGCCATCATAAATAACTAGAGAGCCCTCAGTGGAGGGACATAGCTGCCCGATGTGTGCATGTTTACCTGATCCTGTGTTTTACTGTGAGCCTACTTGAGAATGAACTTGCCTTGATTTTGCCTTAAAATGATCCATAAGAGCTCAGTCTGTCATGTAACACACATGTTTTGCATGGAGGGGAAACGTTCTGCTTGCTACGGCTAAGCACCTAAGAGTTATGACCTTGAGTTTGACCTTTCGTCTGAGGTCAAATGTCACATGACCAACATGGGTTTTTATATGATTACGTGTTTATCTGACACCTTTTCCAGGTTATAACGGATTTTAAAATTGTGATGACTTACAACCTAACCGTTGACCTTTGTCTCAAGGTCACATGTTACATTACCGGTTCATCGACCTCCAATGTCTTCCTAAGTCAGTATACTAGACTCATGTCTTTCTGTGGTTTTCAGTCATACAGAGCTGTTTTTGGGAAATGCGAACTTTGACTTCTGTAGCGCTCACTGACGCCTGTATTGACCCCAAAATCTACCCACTCCTAGAAGGGACCATACCGAGGACATGTATGAAGGTTCAGGTTCAAACTCCTGTAAAGCGCTCAACTGTTACAGACCAAAACAAAACAAAACACACGGGCACAATTACTCCATAGTCGCCCATCGATGGCTAATTATCATGTACAACATTCTTAATGTGCAATATTTCAATTTAAGATAAAGCTTTTTTAATCCTGAAGGAAGTTCTTGTGCCAGATATCACTCGGAAAAAACACAATTTAAGAAATGCAGCGTCTAAAAATTACAAAAGCAATAAGATAGAAGTATGATACCAGAATAGAAAAGTATCCTGAGCTAATAGCAGTGATAGTCTTTGATCAAAAATGAGTTTGAAAACAGTCTGACTTAATGATGTGGACTCTGGGTATAAACCACCACACACGTCATGCTTTCTCTTCTCCTGCCGCTATTTGCATGTCACTATTTTCAACGACAACCTCAGAGCAGCAACCTACACGCTGAAAACGCCAAGTTGTCCCGAAGAATTGCCCACTTCAGTGACAGTTCTCACCTCAGCGATAACAAAAAACATTCTCTTCAAAATTCCAATCGGAAGGGGCACCATCACTGCATCCTGGGCTAAGCTCCGCCAAAGACAGCTGCAACTGGTTTAAAGAAATGCAAACAAACCAGAGCGCTATTTTCCCCGTACAGCGGAATGATGATAATTCTTCAGTACTTAGAAAATAGGTCCTGTTGTGCAAAATTAGTTTAAAAAAAAAAAAAGCAAAATAACATGTTTTGATGTCAGGTTTCCCAAAACAAGTGATGGTATCTCCTTGTGCAGAATTCTGGTCAGACACAAAGTCCTGCATATAACACATGAAAACATATTTCTGCTATGTCTTCTGATGAAGTTCAGCACCCGGGCAGCAGAACAAACCACACAACATGAACAACAGCAATGTTAAGATAAGCTAAACCATCAGCTTGGATTAAATCTAATCTCAGCTGAAAGCAAGAAATGTGGAGAAAACGTGAATATTCTGTGTTATGAAGGACGATTTCTGTTCAACCATGTTCACGGAGGAACAATAAATGAACGCACTGTGCAGAAGAGAGTCAGGAAAACCAACAACAATATTCACTATTACACTGAGTGAAGACACACACTCACTCCAAGCAGGTTAGCATACGCAATAAGACCATAAAATCACACCGCTACTGCTGCATGTAAGGAACTAAAACGTCCTTTACATCAACACAAAGCCCATGTTTTATTATTAGGTCCATTTAAAAGACCTTTAAAGGTAATTTTAAAGACATTTCTTGTGTCGTGTTAATTCAAATTAAGCTTTTTCAAGCATTATTTAATGACATTTTTTTCTGTTTAGTTATTTTTTGGGACTTCTTGCCTTCATTGGACAGGACAGTCAAGAGAGAGAGAGACCGGAAAGTCGGAATGGAGAATGGGGGAAGGAATTGAAGCAAAGGGCCATGAGCGGGATTTGAACCCACAGTCGCTGCATCAGGGACATTAGCCCCTGTGCATGGGACGCCAGCTCAACCAGGTGAGCTGAAGCGGTGGACCACTTAATGCCATTTTATCCTCATGGTGAAAAAACATCAAAGCTACAAATCAGCTGCAGCAAAGGCCTCAGATCAGCAGCCGTTTCCTCCACAAAGCTGTGCAGGAAGGACATGAGCAGCTGTTGGGAGGAGATGCTAAATGCTACATGAGCATTAGCACGTAGAGGAGACTCTTGTGACCCTCCAGGTGAGCGTCTTACCTGCGATCCGGATCACGGCTCTCTCCGCGGGGTCCAGGACGTCTCCGGAGGCCGACTTGGAGCGCTTGATCCGGTGGTGTTTGGGCAGGTTCCAGGGCAGCGTGTCTCCGAGCGACGGCGAGCAGCTGACCGAGCTCAGGTCGCTGGAGCTCTCCTCGGACGCCGCCCGGACCAGAGGCCTCCGCTTGGGCTTCACCTCCTCCATCGTCTGCAGGGACAGAAGACGAGAATGGAGTCTCAAAGAGGAGAAGACCACAGCAGAGAGGATCTATCATCGCTTATATAAGAGTTATTATTTTCTTGGTTAATCAGTGAGCTGTTTGGTTTATGAAGTGTCAGAAATTGATCTCCAAAAACAGTTTACAACCCAAAAACATCCAAGTATAATTAGTTTTTTATGCATAATTTGCTCTTTTTCTTAGTCCTTTATGTATATCTTTGGTTTAAAGGCACCACTTTGAACACTTTTCATCATTTTATAATGAAATCTGTCGCCATTGATGACTAGATCTTTTACAATCTGTGCAATTTTTGGTTATTTGTAGTAAAAAAGTGAAAAATGTTACACCTGAATTTGCAAAGGTTGATTGGAAAGAACACATCGCCATAAAAATAAACTTGAGTTGGACTTGTGATCAGCGGCTCAGACATGACAGTGTTTATATATGTTAGCATATAGCAAATAAAATGGGATTTTATATGACACTGGCTTCACTTTATTGTAGATGGTTGAACTAAACATAACACTAAAGCAGCTGCCATTTGATTTACATTGAAGAAAGAACATTTTTTATCTGCTTCATACACAATAATTCAATAACGAGTCCACTGTCTGAGCAGAAAATGTAAAAATTCTAAATTTTACACTTAATAATCATCCAAATGTATCTTATGTGAAAAATTTCAGGAAAAAAACCTCCTAAACTACACGATTCAATGCCACAGTGCCCGCTAATGTTTCAGAGTTTCTATATTTAGACCTGAAGTGCAGCTTGAGGACAGAAGCTCCGTCTGCTGCTCAGACTGTTGGGAGGAGTCGGGCAGGTGCAGCTAACGTCGCTACGCTAACGGCTTGGTTTCAGCTGAGTCACAGCATCGGTTCACAGGATGCTGCCCGGAGCCTCGGCCGCTCTGATTGGACGACAGCAGCAGCATCAGCAGCAGCATCCTCGGGGCTCCAGTTCAAGCTCAGGTTATGATTTAGCTGAATACTATTTCTGCTGCTGGTGGTTGTTGTTGTAGCTGCAGAGCTGCAGCATGGTCGCATGTTTATTTATTCATTACACAATAAAACATTCAAGTACAGTTACTGCATGGTGTGGGATTTGCAGAAAGGCAACTTCAGGATTAGAGGATGTTTGAAACTCAACATCTGCACATCACAGCTGCTGCTACGCTGAAAAACGAGAAGGTGGAAGAACTTAAATGAATAGTGGCAACTGCAACTGAATTAAGTTGATCCACATTAAGTTAGCAATTAGATATTATCTGTAAATTAACAAAGGAGGAAAAATCTAGCAAATGATATTGATTATTTTTTAATCCTAATACACATATTTTTTCTTTCAACAAATATCTGAAAATGTATTTTTGAAAAATATTTTTGTTGATTTAAATACAGAAAAACTTGTTTTAATTTACAGTGAAATGTTGTAAAAGCATAAATTACCTTTAAAAAAAAAAAAAGATTTTAATATGAAGATTATTTACAGTTTTTGTGAAAATTACTACTTTTTCCTGTGATCCTAGTAAAATAAATAACACTAAATTGTTATAAAAAAAAACTGCAGAAAAAAAATGAAACATTGATTCAAGGTTCAAATAGCACTTTAGTTTAATTACATATCAGATACACTGAAAAAAAAAAGTTGTGTTTGTCACCACCTTGAACAATTTACTTATTTACAGATGATTTTGATAGATTGCAGATAATAACCAGTAAAAATACTGAAAAAAAAAAATAAAGTTTTGGATTCACTAGCTAACCATTAAAAAATGGACAAAAAAATGTCCACAATTTCCACTTAAAGAAAATCTGTATTTTTACAAAAAAATATTTGTTCTTTAACAATTTGTGACCTTTAATTTGCACTGTTTCACGGTAATTAAATCGGCTAAAAATATCATCATTTTACAGATATCTGTCGTTATTTGAAGGAAAAACGATGCATATTTAAGACTGAAAAAATAGTGCGTCTTTAACTATTGTTCTATAGATTTTCCTTGTTTTGTTAAATTACAGATAATATCCAGTAAAATTACGTAAAAAAAAAAATGTGCTCACTGTAAAACAGGTCAAAACTATAAAT